TTGTGGGGCCCTCCGAGACACTTGAGTCAGTTATATGAGTTGAATCAATCGAGTCGACCAACGGCATCTGCTGCCTCGGCGGCTCCCGCTCCAGCAGTTAAAAGCAGGAGAAGATGAAACGATGTTGAGTCAAATCAAGTTCATCTGAAGAGTGGAGCTCTGATTGGCCAAACACACGCTGTCTCAGCGGCGCTAACAGTTAGCACGTTAGAAGAAAACAAAATACTACACAAAGTTGCCAGGAGCTACGTGCTAACATCAGCAGTCGTGTAAATATTAGGGATGTCCGATAATATCCGTTCGACCAATGTTATCGTCCCAAAGAATCGTTGTTGGTTTTTCTTCCGATATTGAAAACCTGATAACACATGCATTCTCACCACACCTCCTCACTCCCCCCTCCCATATCCTTAATTGTTAACTCCGTCATAACACACGAAAAGAGCTTTAACAATGATAAACAAACGTCTTGTCACTAGATGGCAGCGTTGGCGCTCATGTTATTTATCTCTATCAATAATCAGGGGTGGACAATATCGGATATCGGCAAAAAGATGCAATTCTCTGGATTCACTAACACTAACCCACCCCAGGACAAGGCAGCGACCACGGGTAAACACCCCCCCGACCCCCCCGACCTGGGAAACAGAAAGTTAAACGGAGCCAGATCTGCAGCGACACAGACAGAGATAAGAACGTGTAGAGAGTGATGGAGGCGGAAACAAAGGCCGGTCTGACGGAGGCTCCGAGTGTGTGCTGCCATGGCAACAGCTGCTGGGCAGCGTCACACAGTGAGGACGGTGTCTGTGGCTGATGGTATGCTGGCCGCCTGTCAGCTCTTCTGTGGTGAGAAGATACACCGTCCTCCACACGGTGACACTAACAGTCCGCCTGTTGTTGCTGTTCTCACGGGTTTGTTTTGGGGGATTTTTTTCCCATTAAAGCTCCTCAGGGTTGAGTTACAAACCCCGTGTTTGAGGCAGCGATCAGGAAATTCTGTAATGAATACTTCAAAATAAAAACAATTCCCTGACTATTTAGAGCTTTTCCTACGGTGCACGGTGAGTTCACGTTGTTTTTACATTGTCACTGTCATTAAAACAACTGTTTTAATGACATAATTTTGTCATTACAAATTAAAATGAACCAAAACAATAAGAACGTTAGAGAAAATATTTTTCTTTTAATAATAATAATAATAAATAAAGTACATTTATATATATTTCTTGTCATTGCCATTTTCTCCAAATATCTGCAGATATTTTTATATGTACTTAAATATTCTGTTTTGTAGATTCTGTCTGTTCCAAAATAAAGAATGAGCTCTTGGTCATTTTCACTTCTTTTTTTTACCCGCTCTACACATTTGTGACTGGACCATAGAGAATGGTTTGTCTCCTTCAGAGTCTCATAAAAAGGATGTTCTGTGTTTCAGTCTGGAGTGGAATTTGAATTCTGACATGGAGCAACAATCCAGGGGAGGACCAGGGGGCTTTTACCCCCGCTCCACTCCCAGAAACTTAATTAATAATGAATTAATAGTTTTGTACATTTTATAGAACACATAATCCAGAGATTACACACATGTACAGGTGTTCTGACTGTCCCAAGGTCATCCAGATGATTGGTCTACGTCCACGTCCTTATTCAGGACTTCAGAACAACGCCATCTATTGACTGCCTTGTTTTCCTCTGCAACTATAAAAAAGATTGACTGTACTATAAACAGAAAC